AAAAAAAGTGTGAATCAGTTACTACTGGACTTTCACAAACTGACAACTGACAAAAATAACCCTCATTTGTGTGACTTCATTGAGATTCACTACCTGAATGAGCAGGTGAAATCCACCAAAGAATTGGAAGATCACATATTCAACTTGTGCAGGTTGGGAGCTCCTGAAACTGGCATAAGAGAGTATCTCTTTGATAAGCACATCCTGAAGACAATGAAGAGAGCTAAGCCTTAGACTGACTTCCCACAGCCAAGGGGGTGACTTTCCTGATCACCAAAGTAGTACATATCGTACATGTTGGAGTTACCTTTACCTTTTCTATAACTTATAGCAAATCATCCACTTATGATCTTTCATTTGTACCATTCCTTAAAAAATTGCCCTGGCTGGTGTGGCTCAGTAGATTGAGTGCAGGCCTGCAAACCAAAGAGTTGCCAGTTCTATTCCCAGTCAGGACATATTCCTAGGTTGTGGGCCAGGTCCCCAGTGCGGGGTGCTCAAGAGGCAACCACACATTGATGTTTCTTTCCCTCTCTTTCTCCCTCTCTTCACTTCTTTAAAAATAAATAAAATCTTTTAAAAAAAAAAAACCAATTTAAAGTAATTTGGTTCTCCCAGCAAAAAAAGAAAACATAGGCAGTGAAATCTCTGACATTTCTCTTAACAATATTTTTTCTTAATTTTTGTAAAGAAAGAGATATCTTCATTTTTAAATGTATTTATTGATTTTAGAGAGGGAGGGAAGATAGAGGGAGAAAGAAACAGGGAGAGGGACTGATTTATTCCACTTATTTATTCATTCATTAGTTGATTTTTTTATGTCCCCTGACCAGAGATTGAATCTGTAACCTTGACACATCAGGACAATACTCCAACCAACTGAGTTATCTGGCCAGGGAAGCAGTATTTTTTCTACTATATATCCTTGATCAAGGGAAACAAAAGAAAAAAAAATAAACAAATGGGACTACATCAAACTAAAAAGTTTTTGCATATCAACAAAACAAAAAGATTATTGAACAGAAGATATCCATTAATGATACATCCTATAAGGAGTTAATATCCAAAATTCATAGAGCTCATACAACTCAACACTAAAAAAATTCCAATTAAACATGGACAGAGGACCTGATTAGACGATTCTTCAAGTGGACATACAAATGCCCAATAGAAATATGAAAAGATCTCAACACCATTAATCATCAGAGAAATGTAAATTAAAACCACAATGAGCTATCACCTTACACCTATTAGAATGGCTATCATTAATAAATAAAAAAACAACAAGTGTTAGTAAGGATGTAGAGAAAAGGGAATTTTGTGCACAGTTAATGGGAATGCAAATTGGTGGAGCTACTGTGGAAAACAGTATGGAGGGTCCTCAACAAATTAAAAATGAACTGCCTATATAACCAAGCAATTCCACTTCTGGGAATATATTTGAAGAAACCCAAAATACTAATTTGAAAGATTATATGTATCCCTAAATTCATACAACATTATGACAACAGCCAAGATGAGGAACCAACCTAAGTGCCCATCAATAGACCAGTGGATAAAAAAGCTGTGGTATATATACAAAGGAATATTACTTGGCCACACACAAAACAATTAAATTGTACCATTTGTGACAGCATGGATGGACCTGGAGGGTATTATGCTAAGTGAAGTAATTCAGTCAGAGAAATACAAATGTCACAGAATTTCACTTGTATGTGGAATCTAAAGAACAAAATAAATGAACAAGCAAAACTGAAACAGACTCATAGATACAGAGAACAGACTGATTTTGCCAGAGGGGAGCGGGGTTGTAGGACTGGGAGAAAAAGGTGAGGGGATGAAGTACAAATTGGTAGTTCAAAATAGTCACGGGGGGGCAACTTCCAGCCAAGATGGAGGCATAGGTAGATGCACTTTGCCTTATCGCACAGCCAAAAGAAGGACAACAAATTTAAAAACAAAAAATAACCAGAACTGCCAGAAAACTGAACTGTATGGAAGTCTGACAACCAAGGAGTTAAAGAAGAAACATTCATTCAGACTGGCAGGAGGGGCGGAGATGGGCAGCTGGGGCTGAGAGGACACGTGGCAAGGTGGGGGCTGGTAGACCAGGCAGTCCCACATTCACATGCAGATAAACTGGGAGAAAAAACCAGGGAGGAAGAACACCATACAACCCAGGATTCCAGTGCAGAGAAATAAAGTCTCAAAAACTCTGACTGTAAAAACCTATGGGGGTCCCTGTGTGGGGAGAAACTCCCAGCCTCACAGGAGAGTTCACTGGAGAGACACACAGGGCCCTAGAACGCACACAATCGTACCCAACTGGGAATCAACACCAGAAGGGCCCAATTTGCTTGTGGGTAGCAGGGGAAGTGACTGAAAGTGGGAAGAGAGCCCAGCAAGTGACACTGTTCCCTCTTGGAACCCTTCCCAAATTTAGCACCACAACATAGCAACCTGGGTTGCCCCAACCTGGCAAATACCTAAGGCTCTGCCCCTTTCTATTTAACAGATGCACCAAGACAAAAAAATATGGCCCAAATGAAAGAACAGATCAAAGCTCCAAAAATAGAATTAAGTGATGAAGAGATAGCCAACCTATCAGATGCAGAGTTCAAAACACTGGTAATCAGGATTCTCACACTAATGGTTGGGTATGGCTGCAAAATAGAGGAAGAAGTGAAGGTTATGCAAAGTGAAACCAAGGACCATATACAGGGAACCAACAGGGAAAGGAAGGAAACCGGGACCCAAATAAAAAATTTGGAGCAGAAGGAAGAAATAAACATTCAATCAGAACGGAATTAAGAAACAAAAAAACAAATGGGGAGAGGCTTAGGAACCTGCAGGACATCTTTAAACATTCCAATATCTGAATTATAGGGGTCACAGAAGGAGAAGAGTAAGAGTAAGAAATTGAAAACTTGTCTGAACAAATAATGAAGGAGAACTCCCCCAATCTGGAGGAGGAAATAAGACTTCCAGGAAGCTCAGAGAGGCCCAAAGAAGTGGGATCCAAGGAAACACAGACTAAGGCACATCATAATTACCTTAGCCAAGACTAAAGATAAAAAGAAGCTCTTAAAAGCAGCATGAAAAATGGAAACAGTTATGTACAAAGGAGTTGCCATAAGACTGTCAGCTGATTTCTCAGAAGAAACCTTGCAGGCAAGAAGGGGCTGGAAAGAAGTATTCCAAGTCATGAAAGGCAAGAACCGACACCCAAGATTGCTCTATTCAGCAAAGCTACCATTTAGAATGGAAGGACAGATAAAGTGGTTCCCAGATAAGGTCAAGTTAAAGGAGTTCATCATCACCAAGCCCTTACTATATGAAATGTTAAAGGGATTTATCTGAGAAAAAGAAGATGATCAAATCTATGAACGATAAAATGTGACAAACTCACAACTATCAACAACTGAACTTAAAAAACAAAAGCGAGAACAAAAACAAACTAAGCAAACAACTAGAACAGGAACAGAATCACAGAAATGGAGGTCACATGGAGGATTATCAGTGGGAAGGTGGAGGGGAGAGAATGGGGGAAAAGGTGCACTAATAAGAAGCATGGATGGTATGTACAGAATAGACAGGGGGAGGTTAAGAATAGTATGGGAAATGGAGAAGCCAAAGAACTTATGTACAAATCATGGACATGAACTAAAGTGGGGGAATGCTGGTGGGAGAGGGTGTTCAGGGGGGAGGAGAATAAAAGGGAGAAAAAAAATGGGACAACTGTAATAGCATAATCAATAAAATATATTAAAAAATAATCACAGGGATGTAAAGTACAGCATAGGGAATACAGTCAATCACATTATAACAACTGTGTACAGTGCTAACTGAGTACTGGCAATATTGGGTGGGGGGAATACTTTGTGTATGTGTCTTTTGTTAAGATTTTATTTATTTATTTATTTTTAGAGAGGGGAAGGGAGGGAAAGAGAGAGGAAGACAAACATTGATGTGTGCTTGCCCCTCATGTGCCCCCTACTGGGGACCTCACCTGCAACCCAGGCATGTGCCGGAGACTGGGAATCTATTTGGCAACCCTTTGGTTCACAGGCTGGTATACAATCCACTGAGCTACACCAGCCAGGGCAGGGGGAACACTTTGTAAAATATATGATTACCTAACCACTATACTGTACACCTGAAACCAATACAAAATAATATTGAATGTAAACTGTAATTGAGAAATAAAATTTTTAAAAAATATTCTTCTTTAAGTTTAATGTCTTGAATATGACTAGAAAGCTACTTCAAGGTAAGAGCCACATACAAATGTCGCTCAAACAAAGAAGAGTCTAAATTCAGTAAATGTTTCTTTTTTCTTTTCTTTTTTTAAAGATTTTATTTATTTAAGTTATCTTTAGAGGGGAAAGGAAGGAGAGAAGGAGCGAAATATCAATGTATGGTTGCCTCTCATGTGTCCCTTGCTGGGAACTGGCCTGCAACCCAGGCATGTGCCCTGACTGGGAATTGAACCACAGATGTTTGGTTTGAAGGCCCGTGCTCAATCCACTGAGCTACACCAGCCAGGGCTAAATTCAGTAAATGTTTCTTGACTGGCTGATTAAATAAACATAGTCCACACTGTTTTGAGCTGATTAGCTCAAAAACAATGGGATAATATGAGTAATTTATAATCTTTTAACATCTTCAACATATTCAAAAGAAATACTTTTAACAAATAGATTGCTGAAATAATCCACTAATAATCCACTAATCCACTAATAATCCACTAATCCTAGCCAGGCATCCACTGGAAGTCTAAGGAGACTAATTTTTGGTGAAGACAGACTTGGTGCTGGTTTATTGTGTGGACCTCTCTAAAGATCTGGATGCCTGACTAGGATTAGTGGGTATTCTCTGTTGCTATATAACGAAGCCTGCAATTTTGTGCTTTAACCAATTAAGCAAATTATCCCAGGGCACAATGAGAATAGCCTAAATCTGAGCACCACCATTTGTTCAATAAGAGTCCTGCCTCTTACCTTTTTTTCATCCTCATCTGCAGCTTTCTTGAATTCATGTTCAAAGGAGCTAGCTAGTTCATTGAAGAGCCCCACCTCCTCACAGTTCTTCAGGAATCTAGTCGGAGTAGGAGTTTGATCTGTAGACATGAAAACAAAAGGAAATTTAATTTTAGTTTTGACCTGAAACTGAAACTTGAGAGTACACAGAAAATACATTTTTATTCTTTTATTTGAAGAGAGTCTAGGTGTTAAGGAGCTTTAGTAGGTGAAGGCTAGTGCTGGGCCACCAGGGGGTGTCTGTGCTGTGTTGCCTGAGGCCAGCAGAGAGAAGACAGAACAATGTTTTTTTGTGTGACTTCCCAGGTAACCCACCTTTCTTTCAGAGGCTGCTTTCTCCCTTACCCCCAAACAAAACAAACCACCCACTCAGGTGGAGTTTGTGAAACTTACACATTTGGAAATCAAGTACAGTTAAGGGACATTTTCTCTTTAAACTTATTGCTTGCTAGGTCTGAAGTGAGGAGGTATAAGCAGATATACATTAAAATCTGAAGAGAAGAAACCAAGGATCAAATGGATGCGTTTGCTTGCTAAAGCTACCAAATAAGAAATGGTGCACTTTCAGTGGTCACTAAAGTAAAAGGTCTGTTAACCTTCTGAAGGCAATACAGGCAAATCCAGTGGTTGAGGAATAAGACAGCAAGATCATGAGCTAGAAAAGGGAACTGCAAACAACAGAATAGAGACCTGGGCCCATAGCAAATTCCAGAGACCAGGATATTTGGATTTATATTTGCCAGCCAAAATATCCTCTCAGCGGCTGTACAAATCTCTCCTCAACCCAGTGCCTCTGCCCTTGGGAAGAGGAAGGCTTTAAACAGTAACCCATGGAAACTTTTCAGGCAACCTGACTTTTAGATTTGAACTCCTCTCTCCCCATTCTGCTTTTCTAGTTAGGTCAGTTGAATCTTGCTCCCTGGTCCTAACTATATTAGATTGTTTTCCTTGACATGGCAGTTAAAATTCAATTCACTTCATACCCCAAATTACTAGACTGAATGACAGAAATAGAACAATGTTTAAATAATATTTTAAGGAGTAAGAACTAGGGTAAAAATCGCTTCTCCTAGCATGATCAATAGGGAATAATCCAGTGGGATTTTTCCAAGGAAACAACGTAATTAAAAGAAATTTTAAACAAAACCTCTTCTGAATCAGAGTGTTTGGAATAGTTACCACTACCTCCCAAAATAGTTTTAAAAGCTTCTCTGGCAGCTTTGGTTGGCCAACGATAAAGCCACTTTCCCTCCATCCCCGGGTGAGTGGAGGTAATATCATCCTTAATATGCTTAGAGAGAACTTCAGTATGGGCACACGAAAAAAAGTACAACTCAAGTGAAACAGGATGGGGCAGCTAAGGGCATGGCTATGGCAAAAGAGGGCCTTTAGATCTCTGATCTGAGACTCATACAAACTTTTCCCACTCCTGGACAATGTGTAAGAAAATGTATAAGAACAAACAAGAAGTGCTGGTGAGGAAGTGGAGAAAAGGGAAAGACAGTATACTCTTTGTGAGAATGCAGACAGGTACAGCCACTGTGGAACACAGTATGGAATCTCCTCACAAAATTAAAAATGAGGACTTCCAGTTAGGATGGAGGCATAGGTAAATCTCCTCACACAACCATAGCAAAAATTAAAATGAAAATACAAAACCATCACCCAGAATCATCAGAAAAATGGAGCTGTATGGAAGTTCAACAACCAAGGAATTAAAGAACTCACATTCATCTAGATGGGAAAGAAGGGCAGAGATGTGGAATGGATGGTCCCACACCCACATGTAGTGTATAAAAATTGGGAGGGATATCTTGGGAGTGAGGGATCCCAGCCCCACATCAGACCACCCAGTACATGGTTCCAGTGCCAGGAAGGTTAAGTCCCCATAACTTCTGGCTGTAGAAACCAGTGGGGATTAGGGTGGAGGAAAAACCGGTGGGATTCTCAAGCGTCTCCTCTTAAAGAGCCTGAAATGGATGGAAGACTTACACAAACTCACTCCCTTTAGGCTCCAGCACTGGGGCAGCAGCCTGAAAGGCACCACTGGTACATGGGGAGAAATGGACGGAAGTGTTGAGCATCAGGTCAAGTGCTGGGATTTTTGTCCTCCTCCTGGACAAAATCCCAGAGGCTAGGCAGCAACCACAGTCCTTTTCTGAGCCCTTCCCCTCACAGCCACAGAGCAGTGACACCATATCTTAGACTTCATCAACCTGGTTCACAATGGTTGCCCCACCCTGGCTATTATCTAAGGCTCTGCCCCATCCAATTTACAGGTGTACTTTACAATAAACTACACTACTAAGACAGGGAGTCAAAGCAGCTCTACTTAATACATAGAAACAAACACAGGGAGGCTGCCAAAATGAGGAGACAAAGAAATATGGTCCAAATGAAAGAACAGAACAAAACTCTAGAAAAAGAACTAAACAAAATGGAGATAAGCGATCTATCAGATGCAGAGTTCAAAACACAGATTATTAGAATGCTCAAGAAACTCACTGGGTACTTCAACAGCATAAAAAAGACCCAGGCAGAAATGAAGGTTATACTAACTGAAATAAAAATCTACAGGGAATCAACAGTGGACTGGATGAAGCTGAGAATCAAATCAATGATTTGGAACACAAGAAAGAAAAAAACACTCAATCAGAACAGCAAGAAAAAAATTTTTTTAAGTGTGGAAGGCTAAGGAGCCTCCGGGACAACTTCAAATGTACCAACATAGGGGTGCCAGAAAGAGAAGAGAAAAAGGAAGAAATTGAAAGCTTATTTGAAAAAATAATGAAAGAAAACTTCCCTAACTTGGTGAAGGAAACAGACATCCAAGTCCAGGAAGCACAGACAGTCCCAAACAAGTTGGACTCAAAGAGGTCCACACCAAGACACATCATAGTTAAAATGCCAAAGGTTAAAGATAAAGAGAAAATTCTAAAAGCAGCAAGAGAAAAGCAGATAGTTACCTACAAAGGAGTTCCCAGAGACTGTCAGCTGATTTCTCAAGAGAGACTTTGTAGGCAAGAAAGGACTGGCAAGAAGTATTCAAAGTGATGAAAAGCAAGGACCTATTTCCAAGATTACTCTATCCAGGAAAGTTATCATTTAGAATCTAAGGGTAGATAAAATACTTCCCAGACAAGGTAAAGCTAAAGGGGTTCATCATCACCAAGCCATTATTATATGAAATGTTAAAGGGACTTAAGAAAAAGAAGATAAAAACAATGAAACTAAAATGATAACAAATTCACAACTATCAACAATTCAATTTAAAAAACTAAGCAAACAAGCGTAACAGAATCAGAATCATAGATATGGAGATCATTTGGAGGGTTATCAGTTAGTAGCAGGGAGGGGAAAATGGGGGAAAAGGCGCAGGGATTAAGAAGTACAAATTGGTAAATTAAGAATAGAGATGGGGATGTTAAGAACAGTATAGGAAGTGGGGTAGCCAAAGAACTTATATACATGAACAAAGGACATGAGCTAAGGCAGGGGATTGCTGGAGGGAATAAAGAGTATTGAGTGAAGGGGGCAAAGGGGGAAAAATGTGACAACTGTAATAGCATAATCAATAGTATACATATATATATAAAATGGAACTTCCTTATGACCCAGAGATTCCACTGTTGGGACTATATCCTAAGAATCCTCAAAAACCAATTCAAAAGAACTTATGCACCCCTATGTTCATTGCAGTGCTATTTATAACAGCATGAATGGAACAGGAGATTATTATGCTAAGTGAAATAAGTCAGTCAGCAAAAGACAAATACCATATGACCTCACTTATAACTAGACTGTAATTAACAAAATAAACTAACAAAAACGGAACTAGAGTCATAGAAACTGGGACTGATAGTGGTAGTAGGGGAGGAATGAGGGGGGGAATAGTGAAAAGGATTAGTCATATAACATGTATGAATGACTTGTGGACATGGACAACAAAGGGGGTACTGACTGTGAGAGAGAGGGGTGGGATGGATGGAGGGGACAAAATAAAAATAAAAATAAGATAAAATGTGTAAAAGCCCTGGCTGGTGTGGCACAGTGGATTGAGCGCCAGCCTGAGAACCCAAAGGTTACCAGTTCAATTCACGGTTAGGGCTCATGCCTGGGTTGCAGGCCAGGTCCCCAGTTGGGGGTGTGTGAGAAGTGATCAATGTATCTTTCATACGTTGATGTTTCTCTCCCTCTCTTTCTCCTCTTCCTTCTAAAACTAAATAAAAATCTTTTTTTTAAAAGAAAATGTATGAGAAAACCATTAGTCTGCTCTGATGATTCTGAATCAATCAGCAAGTGTTTAATGAATACTTTCTGTGTGTTCTGGTGCTACATTTATACGCTTGTGTGAAAATTTGGGGGAGAAGAGAAATAGCAGTTTAACAGTTTTGTCCAATATATGACATGGCTCTTGCCCTGGAGAGTAAGAGGATGCTTTCGAGTTGAGGAAATAAAACTAAGAAACGTAAACAGCTTCATGGTATACAAAAAAATCAGTGTCATATGCAGTAGAGGATGAAATTATTGCAGAAATAAAGACAAATTAATGGCAGAGTAGTTAGGAGGTTTTCAAAAGAGAGACTTCAACTGGGCCTTAAAGAATGGCTTTAGGCAGTAGAGAGAAGACAAGGTTTAGAAGATAAGAGGAGTAAGGCAGGTGAAGGCACAGAGGCAGGGTATGGACACCATGAATACAGGTCAGGAGAAAAAGGTAAGTCTGGGTCAAAAGATAATAATGTTAGGTATATAAGTTGTATATAAAGTTAGGCAGATACCATGGGGCGAGGTTACAGGAAGCCTGAAAATCGAAGCATAAATTGCCTTAAAGTAAGAGGAAATGGGAAGATAATGACAGATTTTGAGCAGAGGAGAAGAACTTAAGGAAGACTGGCTTTTTTTTTTTTTTTAAAGATTTCATTTATTTATCTTTAGAGGGGACGGGAAGGAGAGAGGGAGAGAAATATCAATGTATGGTTGCTTCTCGTGCGTGCCCTGCTGGGAACTGGCCTGCAACCCAGGCATGTGCCCTGACTGGGAATTGAACCGTGATCCTCTGGTTTGCAGGCCTGTGCTCAATCCACTGAGCTATATTAGCCAGGGCATAATTCTCTTAGTATTTTTATTGTTTGTATTATTTACTGGTATTAGGCTAAAAATACTAAAATTATTTCCATGAATATATGCCCTGACTTAATGAATTTAAGTGTGTAATATCTATATACATATCTGTACCCTATTCACTCTTCCCTAAGACCTGCCCCAGGCTTTCTTTTTATTAAAGTTTAAAATAGTTTTTATAAGGAAGTGTTATATGTAATGACTGTTCACTCTACAAAATCTTGGTCATATAGCTTATGATACACCTAGTCAGTAATAGCACCCAGGTTTTCTAAATCGTCAGTCATCATTTTTCTCTTTTCTTCATCAAATTCATTAGCTGCTTTCTGCTTTTGTTGCATGATCTGAAGAGTCCCTTTGTTTTCTCAGAGAGGTAGTAAAGCTATCCTCTTTTCTTTTTCCTTTGCTAATTTCCTGGAGTATTTCTTCATGTTTTTCTGGCAGGCAAGTTCTCACTGATTTCCATGGGCCATGCAGACCAGCGGAAGGAGCCTGAGAAGAGAACAACTCAGAAAAGAAACAGCCTCCTCGCTGGCTCAGCCGATGTCCCCCACCCAGGCTTTCTTAAGTACAGTTTATGACGTGTCCCCACTTGTGTCCTTTTCCAGGAATTACAATCTACAAGTTCTTAGCAAGATGCTTGGTGTACACAGTAGTCAGTCAATATTTGCTTATATAATAAGGGATATGAGATCTGAAAGGGCAAGACCCTTTCTTTATGTATAGAAGTATGGAGAGAGGTAAATACTGAGGTAAGCTTCTTAACTCAGGCTAAATCAGAACCCTTCATGGTATCAAAAGAAAAGGTCCACTTTGGGTTTTTTGTTGTTGTCCTATGTCTGTTTAGCTGAAAATGGCATAACAGGACTGTTACATGGGCCCTGGCAGGGTGGCTTAGCTGATTGGAGGGTCGTCCCAGTGCACCAAGGTTGCAGGTTTGATCCCCAGTTAGGGAACATACAAAAATCAACCAATGAATGTATCTATAGGTGAAATGACAAATTAATGCTTCTCTCTTTTTTTTTAATTTTTAAAGATTTTATTTATGTATTTTTAGAGAGAGTGGAAGGGAGAGAGCAAGAGGGAGAGAAACATCAATGTGTGGTTGCCTCTTGCAACCAGGTCCCTCTTGCCCACTGGGGACCTGGCCCACAACCCAGACATGTGCCCTGACTAGGAATCAAACCAGAGACCCTTTGGTTCTCAGGCTGCACTCAATCCACTGAGCCACACTAGCCAGGGCAGATGTTTCTCTTTTTCTCTCTCCCCCACCTCTCTCTCTCTCTGTCAAATCAGTAAATTAAAAAATGATTTTTAATATTTTGTTTTTCAACTACATCAATAAATTTTAAAAAATTAAATAATAAAAAAAGAACTGCTCCATTGTTTAAAAGAGCTTGCTAAGAATGGTCCCTTGAGATGGCATACAGAAACAAGACAATACCTAAAACAACCAGTGAGAGGTTCCAGGTCACTCAAATTGGCTTAAAAAAGTCCCATGAACAAAATGTCTTATTTGAGCTTTGGAAATGTGCCCTGAATGGTGTCTGGGTTCACAGGGAAAGCTGAATTTACGAACCGACATTCTGCCTGCTTGGGGAAAACCGACACCCAGTGGAAGAGAAGCAGCCAGACTAGGTCAGCTTCCTTGCTTTTGTTCACTGCTTCACTGTGGGTAGGGAGAAATGTCAAAGGCATCTTTTGTCTATAAATCTTCTAATGTCTTAATAAAAAAGAAGGCAAGGAGGGATAGACAAAACCTCAATACACCTACCCTCAAAAACCACAGAACCCAATCTTGTATTAAAAACAGAGAGGAGAGGGCACAACAGAAACTTGGGAGCTTTTAGTGTTCCTTTTTCCTGATTAAATGCAGATCACATAAGGACTCTTAATGGGAGAAGGGGACTATTGCTCCCTGTACATCTGGTCCCTGGTATTAATCTTAACTGTCTGGTGATATCAAGGCACATGGCTTCTGGGGCAGCAAATACCTGCAATGATGACTGAGTCAGTTCGAGCGGGGCCAAATTTCAATGTCATCTCATGCTTGTGTTTATGAACTGCCAGGTGGTCCTCATTTGTAAATCTCTGAAATGAAACAGAAACGAAGATGTGAAAAAAAAAAGAAAAAGTAATTCAGTGCTCTTTTAAAATGTCCTACCAAGCATCCTGCAATAAGGTTGGTCGTTGGAAAGATGGACTGCACAGGGAATGGAAAGAAGAAAAAATGAGAAGTGATGGAAAAGGACAGGTGATGGATTTAAAAAGAGAAAGTGGGGAAGGAGAAAAAGAGGCACTAGAAAGCTGGGAGGAGAGAGGAAGGGAAAGACTGTAACACCAACTGCTCTGTAATATTAAGTCCAAATGAGAGAAATGGACAGATTGTTGCTGAAGTGGGGGTCCAGGCAGGAGGCTCCAAATAGAAAAAAAAAAATTAAGGCAAACCCATAGTGAACGAGGGGAAAATAATTTTTAATAATAATAATAAAGAGAAAAGGAAAAGTCTGGACACTCGCTGGTCATCACAAAAATAGGAAATTTAGAATTAATCTCTTTAGGTGGGGCTGAATAGGACTATTTATGAGGGGGCTAACAGGGAGATAAATTATGTAGGATTAAGAGAACCATTTAACTTCCTGGCCCCCACAATGCTGCAGCAGGCGCCTGCTCAGCTATTTGGCTCAAGGTTTTAATGAGTCAGGATGGAGCTGTGGAGGACAGAGGCTCAACAGCCAGCAGTAATGGCACACACCAACCCTATTGGCCAAATGCTGTCTCCCCTCACTGGGCAGCCAGCCTGGGCTCTGTGAGCCATAAAAGGGCCAGTACAATGCCTCTGGCTATAAAATGGCAGAATAAAAGTACAAGCAAAAATTTTTTTTGTTAGGGTAGGGAGAAGCCTGTAGGCAGGATGAGGGGAAGGGAAAAGGAGATGGTATAGACATTTTATTTATTTAGGGGTTTGGGTGAAAGGACAATGGAAAGGTGAGGCTAGGTTTGCCTCATTTTATGACTAAGTTAGACAGGGTTACTGGACAGTAATTTATGCTCTGACCCGTTCTTTAGTAGGGGAAGGTGAAGAGAACAGATGAACAGCCATAATTCAAAAGAATGATACCCTCAAAATTCCCTTTGAGGCTGGCTAGCCATGCCCCTTCATTAAAATATGCCTACAACATGTAACAGCTTGGAAGCTGCAGTTTTCCACAGTTCCTTTACCAGCCAGGCTCTGAAACATAGTTCTATTTGTCTTTTTGTTTCTAAAAAAATAACTGGTTAGTTCCCTCTTTTTATTCTCCTCATTAGATATATTTCCCACTGAACACTCTAACTTTAGAGCTCTTTTCTACAGCCCTTCATGCCTGTAAACTAGACTGGAGTTGGCCCCATCCTAGGTCCTATCCAGTCAAGAAAGCAACACTAAACTGTCTAAGTTCCTTTATTTTACCTGCAAGTAGCTTTCTCCAAATTTTCTCTGAGCCCCTATCACAACTAAAACCAGCATAAGATCTAAAACCCTTCTAGGTTAGGCCTTAAAGGCCTGAAGGGAAAAGAAAAATTTCAATTAAAAGTATGAAGAACCAAGAGAAGTAAAATACTCAAAATAAGAATGCCTTAGTGGTTTCCAATGGATCTGAGACAAAACTGAATAAAGTGGGGAAATTTAGCCAAAAACTTTCATGTTTTCTACTGCTGGTTAACACTAGGCATCAACTTTTTCTGTAACAGATTTTTTTTTTTTCCACAAGGGAAAAAAGATGGGGTGGGTGAGAAAGGAGAAAGTAATAGTCTGTTACCCAGGGGTATGATATTTTTTGGTTAAACAAGTCACTGTAAAGGGTCTGAGACTGCCAGGTAAAAGGGGATGAGCAGACCAACCTACACTGGAGAAAAAGCATCATTTTGGAGAACTAAGAATAGTAGTGGATTAGACAAGAATATAAATTTTCAAAATAAATTGGAAAATTTATAAAAAGATTTTTCAAAAATATGCTTGTAAGTGCTTCAAGAAAATTTCATGTAGGTAGGTGGCTTAGTGAATTCTGCACAATGTTCTGGAATCTAGGAGACTGACTTAAAAACAAGAAGTCTTTTTCTATGATCAGAAATATAGTTTGCTCAAAACTGAGCTGGGAAAAAGATTTTAAACATCAAGTTTTGCTCTGGTTAGGACTGCTTAATATTTTAAAAGGCAACTCCCCTTCTGTTAAAACTTTGCTGCACAGTTTTATTTGCCTTGGTTTATTTGTCCTCTAGTTCTTATTCGCCCTCTACTCCTTTCCATGACATCCTGTTCTCTCTTGAACTATTTTTTCCAAATCCAACGTTGGAAGAGAACTAAAGGTGGCTAGGTGGCTGAAGAGATCTCCCACCATCAGCATCTCAGAGGGTTTGATAACTGTGAACATGGATAGAAAAAAAACACATCTGAATTCTCACTACACTGTAATGGAAATTTAACATGCTTAATTCATAATAGCAATCACATATTTTCATATCACATTATAACCCATAGACCTCAAAATATCCTTTATACTTATCATTACTTTGAAATTATGATAATCACCAGAACCACCATCAGAATTTGTTGTTCAGTGGATTAATAAAAAAGCATGTTTATTACATATCAAATATTAAAAATGTTTTTGACAACTGTATTTCAAAATAATGGGTTTCCTTTCCTTTGTAGTCCTATGTATTTTATTAAATTTTTTAAAAGATTAAAAAAATTTTAATTATATTTACAGAGAGGGGAAGGGAAGGAGAAAGACAGGGAGCGAAACATCAGTATGTGAGACAGATGAGAGCTACATGGATCAGTTGCCTCTTGCTTGCCCCCAATTAGGGTACCTGGTCTGCAACCCAGGCACATACCTTGACTGGGAATTGAATGGGTGGCCTTTCAATTAGTTAATGAGTGGCAGAGTCAATCCACTGAGCCACCCTAGGCAGAGCTATTTTATTAATTTTAAAACATTAGCCCTGGCCCTGACTGGTGTAGCTCTATGGATTGAGCATGGGCCTGTGAAGCAAAGGGTCGCTGTTCAATTCCCAGTTAGGGCACATGCCTGGGTTGCAGGCCAGGTCCCTGGTGGGGGACACATGAGAAAGCAACCACACATTGATGTTTCTCTCCCACTCTTTCTCCTTCCCTTCCCCTTGCTCTAAAAATAAGTAAATAAAATATTAAAAAAAAAAAACATTAGCCCTGGTTGGTGTAGCTAAGTGGACTGAGCACCAGCATGTGAACCAGAGGGTTGTGGGTTTGATTTCCAGTCAAAGCACATGCCTGGGTTGCAGGCCTGGTCCTGGGTTGGGGATGTGCAAGAGGCAACTGATTGATGTTTCTTTAGCACCTACTTCTCCTCCTTTCTTTCTCCCTCCCTTCCCCTCTCTCTAAAAATAAATAAAATATTTTAAAAAACATTATTCTGAGAGGGGTTCATGAGCTTCATGAAACTCTCAAAGGGGGTCATGACTCCACAAAAGTTAAGAATCCCTGACTAAATCAGGTAGAGTACTTCAGAGGAGGAGGAGCCAAATGGGATGAATTTTAAGAAGCAGGGCTCCAATCACCTCTTTCTGCTATTTCTAACACAATTCTTATATAGCTAGAGTAGAAGGGGAAGAATTAACGTTTACTAGAGCTTTTTTTCAAAGTGAATGTCAATCTGGCTCTTATTCCATATTCCCTCTCATTTGTTAATAGTTAAGAATTGCCCTGGCTGGTGCAGTTCAGTGGATTGAGCACGGGCCTGCGAACCAAAGGATGAAGGTTTGGTTCCCAGTCAGGGCACATGCCTGGGTTGCAGGCCAGTTCCCAGCAGGGGATGCACGAGAGGCAACCATATGTTGATGTTTCTCTCCCTCTCTCCTTCCCTTGCCCTCTAAAGATAAATAAAATCTTTAAAAAAAAAGAGTTAACACTTAATAATTCTCTAGATCAGTCTTGAACAGCATGCCCAGAAAACTATCCCTCTGAGAGCAAATTCTCAATTAAAATATCTAAAATTATTATTATTTTTAGAGATGGGGTCTCACTATGTTGCCCACACTGTAGTGCAGTGGCTATTCCTAGGAGGGATGCCACTACTGATCTGACATCCCATCTGCATGGTGCACTATAGCCCAGAATTCCTGGGCTCATGTGATCCTCCTGCCTCAGCCTCCCCAGTAGCTAGGACTATAGGCACACACCACTGTGCCCAGCTCTCTAAGATTATTAAGTGATGAAAATTTTGATTAAAAAATATATATTATTTTATTGAATTAAAATGAGCTCCCCTCAAAATTTCCATTTTGAATTTCTGCCTACCTATAATCTAGCTGTCTCATTTGTTAATACCCTACTGGGTCTTCCTTTGTTGTTTGGTTTTACCTATGACTAATGTTTTAGCAAATAACCACTCAGGGAATACTCACTCTGGCTGTAGGGCAAACAATGACAATTTTCAATAAGTGTGTAGATATTAACAATCTCCAAGACAGAGAGGGCATTCAAAATGAGGGCTGAAGAATTTGAGTCATATTGGATCAGAAAAGCGTTCCACTTGTTTATACTTCATTGGTTGACTCTTGTACGTGCCCTGACTAGGGATTGAACCCATAACCTTGATGTATTGAGATGACACCCCAAACAACTGAGCTACTTGGCCAGGGCAATAAAATATATTATTAAAATTAATTTCACTTTCTTACTTCTACTTTTTAATGTGGCTTCTAGAAAATTGCAAGTTACATATATGGCTTGCATTAGTGGTTTGCATTATATTTCTTTTAAACAGCTCTGATATAGATAATATGTTCAAAGATCTAATAGGAATTTTAATTACATGCCAATCTTGACTCTTCCTCCCACCCCCAAATCCATTTTCCCTAAATGTAATTCATACTATATGGTAGTGGCTCTCAACCAGGGGCAACTCCACACCCTCTCAGAGGACATTTGACATGTTTGCTTGTCACAGATGGGGAGATGTTACTGACTTCTAGAGGGTAGAGGCCTGGGATACTGATAAATATCCTATAATGCACAGGACAGTTCCCCAAAACAAAGAGTTATCTGACTCAAAATGTCAATTGTGTCT